TCATCATCATCAACAACATCATCATCATCATCATCATCATCATCACCATCATCATCATCACCATCACCAGCATCATCATCATCATCATCATCATCAGCATCAGCATCAGCATCTGCATCAGTATCATCATCATCATCACCATCATCATCAGCATCAGCATCAGCAGCAGAATTATTATCGTCATCCTCAAAATCATCATCATCATCATCATCATCATCATCATCATCATCATCATCATTAGCATCATTAACATAATCAGCATCATCACCGATATCGTCATCATCATCATCATCGTCATCATCTTCATCATCAGCAGCATCAACAGAATCAGCATGATCATCATCAGCATCATCATCACCAGCAGCAGCAACAGCATCATCGGCATCATCAGCATCATCATGATCATCATCAGCATCATCATGCATCATGCGGCATGCATCATGCATCATGCAGCATGCATCCTGCATCGTAATCGTCATCGTCATCGACGAAAAGTAAGAAATAGTCCAAATAATAATCCAAAATGGTCAGAAATTGACAAAAAATCGTCCCCTGGCTATTTTTTGACTATTCTTGAAGATTCCTCCTGTAGAGGGACGTGTCCGACTTCGGCTCATCGGGGCGCGCCGGCGCACCCACGGAGACTCCGGAGCTTCCAAAATCTACCTTCCGCGGCCCGGAAGACGTTCCGAGATGGTCCCGAATCGCTGCAGGATTGGCCCAAGACGCTTACGATGGCTCCGAGATGCCCATGCCCAAGAGGGGCCCGAGAGGCAACCATCAATGGCTTACCCTAGGCTTTTGAAGAAACTGTGGCGCTCTCGCCTTTTCTCTTCTCCGATGCTCCAAGACGGCCCAAGAGGCTCTCAGAAGGCCTCCAAGACAGCCCAAGAGGCCTCTAAGAGGACCCCAAGAAGGCCTAAGAGCGCCCCAAGACGGCCCAAGAGGCCCCCAAGACGGCTCAAGAGGGCCCCGAGACAACCCCAAAAAGGGAACCGATAATCCGTGCCTTCCGCCCCAAGAGGCTCCCAGGAGGCCCCAAGACGCCTTCGAGACGCCCCAAGAGCACTCCCAAGAGCATTCCCAAGAGGGCCCCGAGAGGCAAAAATCAATGATTTGTCCTTAGGTTGTTCACTGTTTCTGGGGTCATCGTCTTCTCGCGCTTCCGACGCGGAAGACGGCCCAAGAGGCCCCGCAAACCGCTCCAAAACTGCTCAAGAGGTCACCACGAAGACCCAGGACGGCCCAAAAGGCTTCCAAGACGGCCCAGAGAGGGGCCCAAAGAGTGGCCCAAGACGGCCAAAGATTGCCCCAAAAGGGCCCTAAGAGAGGCAAAGAGGGAAAACACGAACCGAACCTCCTCTTCCCCCTCCAAGAGACCCCCCAAAGGACCCAAGAAGCTCCGAAGCGGCCCATTTGAGGGCCCCTGATAAGCCCCGAGAGGCCCCCAAAAGGCCCGATAGGGGCCCCAAGACGAGCCCAAAGACGCTTCAAAGAGGCCCCGCCAGGCCCCCGAAAAGCTCCCAAGACGCCCACAAGAGTTCCCAGATAATCCCCAAGAAGCCTAAAGCGCCTCAACCGTGGACTCCCCGACTCTTCTGGGGGTCGGCGGAATGGCAAAAGCCTCTTGACGCATCATTATCACCATCACCAGCATCACAGCAAGCATAATCACGATCAACCCTCTCATCCCCGTCATCCGCATCCCCCCCTTCTCCTCCTCCTCTTCCTCCTCCTCTTCCTCCTCCGTCTCCTAATCCTCCGCCTCCTCCTCATGATCATCACCATCTCCATCACCATCACCATGACAATCACCATCACAACTCCCATCACCATCACCATCATCAGCATCCTCAACAACCACGCAATCATCATGATCATCAACATCAGCATCATCATCATCCGCATCAGCAGCTGCAGCAGCATCATAAGCATCAGCATCAGCATCATTAGAATCATCAGCATTCTCATCGTCAGCATGATCAGCATCAGCATCATCAATCATCATAATCAGCATCGTCATCATGATCAGCATCAGCATCATCAACATCATCATCGTCGTCGTCGTAACGAGCATCGCCATCGTCCTCATCATCATCATCATCATCATCATCATCATCATCATCATCATCATCATCATCATCACTACCATCAGCAGCAGCATCCTCATTACCATCATCGCCAGCAGCATCATCAGCAGCAGCACCATCATCATGAGAATCTGCATCATCAGAGTCATCAGCATCAGCATCTGCATCAGCATCAGAATCATCATCAGAATCCTCAGTATCATCGTCATCCTCATCCCCATCCTCATCCTCAGCCTCATCCAATTCCCCCGATCCTCCTTAACCACCACCACGTGGTCTTCAACCTGCTCGTTTTCTTTCCCCTTCTCATTCCCCCCCTTCCGCCTCCCCTCCCCTTCCCTACTCCTCCTCGTCCGCTATTCCTCCCCACCCTCACCGCCCCCCCCCCGATCGTGCTCGACTGTGTGCTC